ACTGAAAGTTCCACAAATCAGGGCAAGAGTCTTCCTACTGGATTTATAGAAGTTAGATCAATCCCTAGCAATCCATATGGATTCTCCACAGAAATCAAAGAGCTGAAGAATGCACCATCAGGTTTTGAAACTGTAGATGCTATCCCTACAAATCCATATGGTTATTCTAACGATATACATTCTGATGTTCACAATCCTAAAGCTCCAACATCAGGATTCGTTTCTGTTCAGTCTATCCCCACTAATCCATATGGTTATTCTGAGAAAGTGACTGAGATTAAATCTGCCCCAAGTGGATTTGAAAGAGTCAACTCTATTCCATCCAATCCTTATGGATATTCAAACAGAATTCAATCAGAACAACACAGAAGTCCTACTTTAACTACCCCATTTGAAGAAGTATCAAGCATCCCCTCCAATCCGTATGGGTATTCAGAAGAAATAAAAAATACTGATAAATTCCCAAGTGGTTTTAAGAACTTTGAGGAGATCCCCACCAATCCATATGGCTACAGTACTGAAGTGCAACAAGAGTCTTTCTCAACTAAAATGAGGGTATCAGGATTTGAACCGGTCGATGCTATACCAACAAACCCATATGGTTACTCTGAAGATATCCTGAAGCATGACAGCCCAGGTGCCTTCATAAAGGTTGAATCGATCCCAATTAATCCATATGGGTTCTCTGAAAAAATAGATTCTACTCAACATTCAGCTCAGCGTCTTGTGAGTGGCTTCGACAATGTCGCCAGCATCCCGTCCAACCCCTATGGGTATTCTGAAAAAGTTGACAAAGTAGACCAGGCACCAAGTTCCGGGTTCTCAGAGAAAATAGGAAGGGGGTCAGCATTCGAAACAACTAGACTCATCCCTGATAATCCCTATGGATATTCCAAAGAAATACATAGTTATGATAATGCATCAGGATTTGGTAATGTCGAAGCCATCCCACATAACCCATTCGGATATTCGGAGGTGACACAAAACTGATATACACAATGGGAAAACCTTGCCATCCGCATTTGAGAAAGTTTTGAGTATCCCAAGCAATCCTTTTGGATATTCAGAGCAGATTAAAAAATTGTCAGCTCCTGTTTCTGCTTTTGAAGAAGTTTCCTCTATTCCAATCAACCCTTACGGGTACTCAGAGGAAATTATGATGGATTATCCATTTCCCATTATACTCCCATCAGGATTTAAATCTGTAGTATCTATCCCCAAAAATCCTTATGGATACTCAGAGGAAATAGTTAAGATTTCTGAATCTCCATCTGCTTTCGAAGATGTCGAGGAAATTCCAGACAATCCATATGGATACTCAGTTAAGGTACAGGGAGAAGCACACAGGCAGAACAGCAGGCCATCAGGTTTTGAATCCGTTGCAGCTATTCCTACTAATCCTTATGGTTATTCTGAAAAGATCCTGAAATATGAACTTCCTTCTGGAGGCTTTATTGAATTTGATTCAATTCCCAATAACCCCTACGGATACTCAGAACTGATTGAACAACAGCACCATAAGCTGAATGGCGTTGTGTCTGGATTTGAAAACTTCTCATTGATACCATCAAATCCATATGGATATTCTTCTGCCATTGAAAAGGTGAAGGAATCTCCCTCTGGATTTGAAGAAGTAGAATCTATCCCGACGAATCCCTACGGATACTCGACCGAAATCGACAGTTCTCCTGAATCACTCAAAAGCCAACCCTCAGGCTTCGAAAACGTGGAATCAATTCCTTTAAATCCCTATGGATACTCAGAAAATATAGAAAAACTTGATGTGGAGAAATCGGGTTTCGACAATGTTGCCAGCATTCCAAAGAACCCCTATGGCTACTCAGAGCTCGTACAAAAGGAACATAACCAACCTATAAATCACCCCAGTGGTTTTGTGAGGGTACGCAAGATCCCCAGGAACCCCTATGGCTACTCTAAGGAGATCACAAAATTAGGGGCGCCGGAAGGCGGCTTTGTCGCTGTAAAACTCATACCCAACAATCCTTACGGGTATTCCACTGAAGCCAGCAAGGTGGAAATCGGTCCTAAACCAATCACGGAGGCCTTCGAGGGAGTCGACAGCATCCCAAACAACCCCTACGGCTTTTCAACACAAGCGAATAAGTATGAAGTTGACAGCACGGCCTTCGAGCGCGTCGACCTCATCCCTGATAACCCTTACGGTTTTTCCAACGGCGACTCCATGTCTTCCACCAGCTCCGCCTTCGAGCGTGTAGACGACATCGGGAAGAATCCATATGGGTACTCGGAGAAGGTGCAGACTGTCCAGTTGTAGAGCCAGTCTACCAACCCTGAATACATTCGAAGGCCCTGCATTGTCTGACCAAATACAAAAAAAAAACACAAATCCACTGAAAACGCCTGTGAAACATTTGCATACGGTATACATACAATGGCTCGTTCAGGAATTAATACATTCGTTAACAATTCTCAATACAATTCCATAATTGCCTACTCAGCATGAGACAATAATGCAGGC